CCAACCATCAAACACACTACCAATGCATTTTTGTGCTTTACATACCCCAACAAATACTTCAGCGTTAACTTAACTGGAAAACCCCAATACCAAAATACTTACTCATTCTGTGCTTGTCAGCAATGTACTCGAGGATTGCGCACGATTGCGTCAATTTAACATCCCCATCAATCAAATACGGTAGCTGAACAAACAGCGCTTGTTAAAATCACAAACCTACATTTGGGAAATCAATTCCTAATGAATACTTGACTGACAACCATTCACTGCGATCAAATGTTGGGGCTGAATAAATGTTATTAAATGCCAAATTAACGGGTTACCAGGACCGCACTTGTATCGCTTGTCTTCGAAATCCTCCCCAAGATGACGGAGGAAGAGACGAATTGACTCACCAAGCTGAAATGAACATCAAAGAGCATTTTATTTAAAATAATTTCAACATAATAGTATATGTGGTAGTCTGTTTAACAAATGTATTATTTCCCAAAAAATTCTTTTCGTTTATATTGAATCACTTCGAAATCATGGGATAGCTTTGAACGTCACTAATGATAGCACTGAGCCTTTTACGAAAACACTAAGTGTTTCCAAACTTAGAATACACAGGATTTAATATTTAAGTAGCAAAGATGTCTTAGGGAGTAATACCTTTATGAACAATAAAAATTTTATTTTTATTCAATAAATAAATCTCGACTACTTTCACAGAAAGAAATTCCATCTTAACTACCTCTCATTCATATTATACTATGACGTTAGAAAAATAACGCATACTCCTCTGATGTCCCAATAGGCCAAGACCAGTTTCATGACCCTGAATTTGACGCACTACACAGACATTTGCTTTCCCGCTTTTATAGCGCGTACTTATTTCCGATTTATCCTTCAGATTATTGCAAACAAAGATACATAAAATAAACATTTTGATTTTAATTTTACGACGACTAGTATAAATGAATTTTTTGTTGCAAAATGTTCGCACCAATATAGAAATTGAGTGAAAGTGTTCCATGGAAGCCTACATTGCAATCAGGTTTACTAATTCAGCAGACGGAAATAGGTCATTTTGTTGACTTCCAAACATTTGAGATTAGGTGTTTTATTAGTAAGCTAGGTGAATGGCTTTATAATTTTCAATTTTTTGTCATGTTTAGGCATATATTACGATAATAGTGGCCTCATTCTACAGCCTAATTATGGATGTCAACTTGAAATCCCACGCATTAGTCACTTCCAACTAAATTAGGTAACTCGAAAGCGGAATTATCACTGAAAACAATGCTAAGCAAAATTCTTTAAGTTCAATCAAACAATCTTGGGCATTTCCAGACTTCGCACCCACCGAAGTGCTCCGTATCAAAAATGTTTCGATTTACCGGTACGGCCTGCAAAGGAGAGCTTAAAAATGTGCACTGTTAGCGCGTTCACATTTGACTCTATTTCTTGCTTTCAGGTTTGCATGGTACAAGTTTGGGTTAGTGCCTAACGTTGAAGTTAAGATTATTTTACTTAAATGAGTTTTTTTTGAAAAAAACCTAATTAGCGAGCTGAATGTCTACGGGCAAGTGAAATAGTATATATTCTCCTTATTTCCTTTTGTCTATGGCGTATTGAATGAGTGTTTGTTAATGTAATGAAGCGAGGCTATTAACTAAATCGCGTCTTTCGAGAAATATGGAAGCTATCACTAATGTTGAAATGCAGATCAGATTCCTTAACATGGTTTTTACGTTTTAAGTCAAAAGGACAAGAGCGCGCATATGAGATGTCTGAGTCTAAACATTTGCATAGTACGCATACATAAAAAATGTGTTCAGGGATTAGATTAATGTCTATTGGACTAAAAATCATGGTATTTCTTCATGACGGATTTTCATGACCTTTGGAACGGCGATAAATTATTGGTGAACATGGTTGTAGCATTTTCCCCGGCTTGAGTCAATACTTTCACCTGTTGCCTCCGCGTTTGACATTTGATGCTAGAATGCGCAGATTTTAGTCTGCTGTCTGTGCCAACAGTCAGCGTCTCCAATAAACATACAGTCGTCGTGATTTAACATGACGATTTCATTTTGCCATGGGAAACTATCACTGACTGAGGGATCACGTTCCAGTTGATGGTCGCAGTTACACACGGTTGTACCCACCTCTAATGAAGCAATAGATTTTATTAATGGAGGCTACAGACACCTTTTTAAAGAAAAAATAAGGGAGAATTTATCATGATACACTCGGCAGGCTAGCAAATCGCTAAATGGTTGAACCTAACAGTATATTGGCAGACATACCTGCAGACTTCCAAACAGATACCAAAAAATATCCCCATCAATGACGAATAAGGCAGAATAATGTGACCAGGCATGTGTTAAAGACAAAACAGCTGAATTTAACACAAAGTTAAATGCTAGCTATTTTTAAGTCTGCAACAGTTATCCTGTGTGCAACTGCAATCCTTCGAGTATAAATAAGCAACTCACCTGTTGGCACCTTAAAGGGATGAGAAATGCTCCAACTTCTATGAAGCAGCCTTTAGTAAAAGGGAAAGAAAGACAATGGCTGTGTACCCGAAAATTAGTGTGCATAAATACGACGACTTTAACCATTGCAATCTTGGGGATGCTGACTCCACGGAAGAATTGCTTCTCCCAACAGAATCCCATGCTGGCTGAAACGTTAAGTCGCGCCATCGATTGTTCCGACTGACGTTTGATCATTTCATTGTAATATAGCTGGCCACTTCAGAATGGAGTTGGTCAACACCACGTACGAGTTCGGACAGTTAAATGAAACAAAATCAATGTGCACGAGGCAAATGTCGGGGTCTTAATGATTTTGTGTGAAGCATCAAATCAAAGGTTTTTGGCAGCCGGCACGAATAATAGCACGGAAAATATTATTATGCCAAATGAAAGCGTACACCTCGAACCAATGAATGTAGGCATCATAGCACCTTCTTCCAATATCATCTAGTCGTTTGCAACACAGGGTTACTCTGGATGATAGAAGTGCTTGTAGATGTTGTTGATCATCAAGCATGGACTTAGTGATCAGCTTCATGGACTAATCTACATCACGTCTTAGCTGTCGCAAATAGCAAAATGTCATAAATATGGGATGTTTTTAAATTGTCGTGTGGCGTTGTCCGCATTGTCCGCATTATAGGGTGGCTTTGCATCGCTAGAGACAAGGATTGTAATAACCAAGTCAGCTGCCTCTAATCAACGCTATTTGACGCCTTGTTAAGCGGGATGTTGCATAAACAAGACTGCCATTCCTTCACGATGTCACCTAACCATGCATTTCTCTACCAATGAGGAGTGTACTAAACCATGAAGTCAATCAACAGATGGCTACAATCAAGCTGCATTTAACACAGAAATGTCCGTGAAATCAGGTCAAACATGGTAAACCAAGGCCTTGTCTTCAAGTGTGGAGAAATCCAATGGCAGGTTCTTTAACGTGAATGTGACATACTGAGGTGTGCATGGAGTTGATTTGAATGAATGTCAAAACCACACCAAGCACATGTTGTTTCACCACTCCTAATTCACAACCCACGCCAATAGTTTGTGCCAATATACTTTCTATTCGTCCATACGCCTTCTGATCATGCCCAAGCACGCTTCACCGAGTTCGGGTGCTGTACAAAAGCAGACGCGCTTATCGTCAGCCTTGGACATGGCGAAAAACGCGACAGATTTCCGTGTGCCATGTGGGAAGTCGAGGAGACCAAGTTCTCCGACGTGAGGATTGAGACCAGGTTGATTGGAGTTAGAGCCGAAGTGCGTAAAGACATCCAAATCAATACTAGTGCTCATGGTGGTTGCAACAAACACGCCATAGTGCTGCTTCGCTGAGGCTTCGTCGAGGGCGGTAGAATAATGGGCAATGGCCGTTTTATCCTCAATGAAGTACTCGAACGCGAATTCACTGATAACCTGAAAAGGGGCCTGTGAGTTGAGTGCGTTTTGATTCGGATTGTTCAAGACTGTAGAAAATTGATTATTAGTTATAGGCACTTGACGTATTTCGAGTTGCCTCTGTACTAACTCACGAGTATCACAATGAGAAGTCTTCAAATTGGCTCCAGCTCTATGCGAACACAGTCCTTCCGTGATTAAGGCAGACAACAACTCTTGCAGTGGTGGCGACGACGCTGCGCCCTCGTGTACCCCGGCTCTCTGGGACAAGCTGTCCGCTGCCCCAGCCGCCGCCTCGTTACCGCCCTCGTCCATTTTCTCCCAACGTGACCGTCGGTCCTGCATTCCAAACCAGCCAACATTTGTAACCTTTCGTACCCCTTTCGGACAGTTGTCCTCGTCGCCTTAAGATGTGGGCGTGGGTTGTTGTGTTGCGTTTTGATCTTTCTGATTCAGCCTTGAGTTTGATGGTATTTTTCCGTCGTTTTAAGGCCACATTTTCGATAATAGTTAATTCATAAAACATGAAGATATGCTTAGTTAGTGGATAACAGTAATCTGGCATTGACGTTTTTAATTAATCCCATTGGGAAGGGAAATAGAAGTGAGGGAGACGAATTAACTTGCGGAATCAGAGTGGAATCGACAGAAATAATCAGCACACCTAATGAAATCCACCAGATTTTTGTGATTTTGCAATAACAGAATATACGTAGCAACGTTCTTGGTCCTGCTTTGCCGAAATAATTTAACAAACCCACCGCTATTTTTCACGTCAAAACTGCTTTTACTTTCGATACCGGCCAGCGATATCGTATCAGCGGATTGGTCACCTCTATCGACTGCTCTCTCAGTTATTCGTCGTGCATACCACGTTGGTCACAAGGTCGCTGAAAGTTAGTGGAGGTAGGAGAAATCTAAGCGCGGACTAACGTGAGTTCTGAAAGGAGAAAATGACTTTTGTTTACCAAAGGCAAAACAATTCTTCGTTAATTGAAACATGGTTGTTGTAGGCGTTAGAGAAAACAATGCAGCATTTGGGTTACAAACTGCTTCCATTTTGCTGTCTCATCCAAAGGCAGAGTCAGCACGTCAAACCACACTCCCTGAAATACGTGCACAGGCGACATGGAACGTGGTAAACATTTTTTCATTCAATTCAAAATGAATGAACCATACACCCAGAGACGGTAAATGCGAATGCAATAATGATGTGAGGCATGTGAATGTCCGTTTTCTGAAAGTGCATGGTGTTGTGGATGCCGCTTGTTCCACCAGTGAAGTAATATTTGCTCAAATTCCAGGCTTTGGCAGTCTTCGTTGATGTGTAAAAGGAACTGGAGCATGTGGCCCCACGTCCAGTCAGATTCCAGTCAAATCGCCTTCTACAACAAACAGAAGCCATAGTTCCTCGTACTGTCGAGAAGTTTGTCGATTTGAATAACTGTTGAAACACTCGTAGGCCAATTGGTTGCAGTGGAACGAAATTGCTCTCGCGCTAAGTAATAAGTAGGAGTTGTCAAAATGGTCGAACGAATTTTATTCATTCGCAAAATAAACAGCCGCACAAGCGACGGCGTGTGCGATTGATGCAGACATTGTGTCAACAAACTATACATTCTATGTGCAATTTTCTGTTCCAAACACGACCTAAAATAAAACAACACCAAAGGTGTTATCCACAAAATGTGCATGATTTGCAACCATGGACTCTGTTTCCGACAAAACCAGACACACTGTGCGTAAATTGATTTGCGTGCACCTGAATTGCAGATTGCACGCGTTGTCCTTCACGCCTTTCTTGCATTGACAACTGTCAGGCTACCAAAATCACCAGGTAATCACTAACGCTCCTTCCATCCAAACGGCACATCACATGCCGCGATTCAGCAACACCGGATGCGCCTATCAATGCCTCCGTGTCTGCCTTGAACATCAATTCATACAAAACACCACCTGATAGCGAATAAAAACGACTCAGTTAAACAGCAGCAAATTACTTCGAGCAACAATTACAATTTCAATTCACGTTAGTTTTATCCATTTGAACTCGTATGCATTACTTTTACCTTCCAACAATCGATGAAACCAGATCAGTTGGTCAGTGAAGGTGGTGGAGACGAAGATGGTCTTTCGTTGGGAAGATTCGGTCGTTCTCTTTGTTGCTCTGAGAATCAAGTGAAACAGTCACAGTGCCAAATTGCCTAATGCACCTTGTTCGACTGCCTCGACATGTCAACTTTTCCTTCCTAATTTCACTTCGGAAAAGCACAATTAAGATTTGGAACGATCGTTATAAAACTTGGTTGATCAAAGGCATAAACACTGCGTTGGTCTGGACATGTGCAGCATGTATGCGGTGCATAATGGTAAACGGTGCCGAAGTATCATCCCTCACAGTAAACGCAAACAGTTGTCAACTGCGACTCAGCAGTGTCGGTGGTGCGGATAAGTTACTGCCAACGTCCGGTGCACTAGCTCCGTCTATCAAACAGTAAAGCCATGGGGCGTCGTCAGTTTTGACGACAGCCTCGGTTACAGGCATGGCGGAGGGCGACACCAACTCACAATACACTTCCCCAAATTGGCCACTTCACACTCAATCACTACACTGGTGAACCAGTCAACACATGCAGTTAAGTACAACTGCACAGATCCACAGTGAACTGGCACGGTCGGTGATCAATCCGACGTGGTTTTATTCCATGATGAATCCGTTCTCCTCTCAGTTATCAACTAATCAAGCGCCAACACGCAGGTCAACGGTGATTCACTCGGTAGAACACCAACGCGAGTCTGCATCTCAACATTCATGCCAAATCGGAAATTTACGTTTTCGGAACATCACCATGCTCAATCCCCTTTTTGTCCGCCTTTTCACGACTCTTACAACACTTGTTCATAGGTTCGTCATGCCTTACGCAATTTTAACCATCCTTCATTTAAACTTGACCATCGTTGTCGACATTCAGATCAGTGTTTACCAGAATACTAACACTTATTGCGGTGAGTGACAAGCAACATGGCTATGGCGAGTTGGAAGCTACCCATTAAGTGGTAAAAGGCACGAAAGAACAGGTTAGCGAGTTTTAGAAAATTAGTCCAAAATAAGACAGCACTTGGTGATCCCGAACTGACTCCCTGTGCTTGCCAGTCATCCACTTAAATGATTAAAAGATACAGAGTGGGATGCCAGCTCCTGTGAGCCATACAAGTCCAACACATTCTCAGTTCACCCAGCTTCTGTGTGTGAAACCACGTCCACCTCATCCATATGCAACTGTTTCCTCAAAATCCCACATCAGAGGCAATCACAGTTTCCTACTGCTGAACGTCACCCAAGCCACCCAAACACACTCACGCATCAAGCACAACTTTGTGCAAATTCTAGTCACATTCACTTTGCGCTCAATAACAAAGGCGACCATGGATAATGAAGACACAAAAATATGCATACCTATTCGCCTTCTTCTCCCACCCTACTTCCATCACTGTTTCTCACTGCATGTCTAAAGCACACTCCAACAAATGCCAATGCGAACTACCTGCTGCTGGGTTCGCAGGCTACGCGCGTGCGACGTAGGCTCCAGAGTGTACAACTTGACACACCTGGCGATTCTCCATAACCACCGCAAATTCAACCTCACCTCCCAAGTAGCCGCAAATGTGCATTCCAACGCTTATGTCCCAAAGTACGCCAAATTTACCCAAAGCCCTTTCCGCCATTTTACAAACTGCAATTCATTCACACAAAAGAGTATGAGTTGAACAAATTTACTTAATTTTTAAATCCTAATTGCAACAACATGATCGTACAAATTCAGCAGTCTCCGCGCCACATGGCTCTTGGTAACGTGCAAGGACGCGACCTGAACTCATCCGAGGCCATGTAGTCCTTGAGGTTCGGCAAATTCTGCAGAACAAATTATTGTAAGACCAACACGTCAATTATGTTTACCGGAAAAGTAGCCATGAAAGTTGGGTTTGATGTGCAAGTATTTTAAAGCAGTAACACACATCAATACGACCCGTCTATCTGACTGGTCAAAAAACCGTTCCATTGAAGTGAAACTGGCAACCGCTAGCAGTGCGGCCACAAATACACCCTCAGCCAAGGCCAAACAAAATGTTACAGCACATAGTGCACCTCTACACTGACATGGCAAATCCAACTCATGCCACCTCCAGCCCAAACTCGTGAGCTTTGTTAAGCAGATGTGTACCAACAATTTAATCACTTGTGTACCTGGCTCACTTAGTGCATCTAGTGCCATTCACGCTGCACTGCTCTCATCGAAGAAGCCTGTTATTACACCCGAGCTCTGTGTGTTCGCCTTTGAAATGTGGTCAGGTTCAAATTTAAGATCACCTACACAAGTTTAGTAGCATTCCTCTACTATCCCATTAAACCATCTGCACAATATCAGCCACCGTCGAAATGACTGCTTACGTCCCACCACTGCGCAAATACAATCTCAAGAATCTACCTCAAAGCGGCAAAGGTAGGCCTTCAGCTTCGGGTGCTTGTCGAGGCACGAGTGTTCGAATTTAACCAGTTGGTTCAATAATTCACAGAAGTAGAAATCCGGGTAGTTAATCTGCAAAAGATCAATCATTAAAAACACCACAATCTCTAACTAACAACGTCTTCACAACTACTCGGACAATTCAACAAACCACGCACGACTCACATTGCCAATCATCCAGCAAACACACTCATTGCCACTTCCCAAATTACACACACCACCACTACTACTTCCATATGCAATGGAACACAGTAGGTATTCACGAAAACTTAACGAAAACACTAACCCAGTCTAAGGAATTCACACAACAATGCGAGAGTCAAATGCAGTAGGAATGTGACAAGGCAACGCTGCCAGTCTCCTCTATCGGAGGAAAGCTAGTAAATCCCTCCCCAACTCTGCACCTCAGGCCTCAGCACGAGGTGTGCTTCAGCAAGACACGCACGATCCCACCAAATACACTAATACCCTCTAACTAAGCAAGCACCAATGACTTACCTTGTCTCCAGTCAACCACTGTTTTTCTCCTAGGTACTTCTCAAAGTCCCTCAATTTCTCAGGCAGTTTCTCCAGGAACTCTGGCTTCAATTTCTCCTGTAACGCAAAATCCCCTTAGAATCATTTTAGAAAGGCATATAATTCCGCAACATAAGAGATGACATAGCATGAGAACTTACATTTCTTTATTTTTTGGAAATAAATACAAAAAAACAAAAAAATATCATATACTCAGGGGCCAAGACGTAAAACAATGACGAAATAAGTTGTTAACAAAAGCACTTACAAACTCAGAATTATAACACATCATAGCGAAATGATAGCGGAGATCTTTGGTCGCTTCCAGCACCATATGCAATTTCGCACGCATCTTTGGACAAGCCGGAACTACAAAGCAAACGCAATCGTCTCCTAAATTAAACTCTCTGCCAGTATCTACCAGTCATCATAGAACATTTCACAGACCACAACCGCTCTTACACATCTATTTACAATTCCGCCATTATCAGTCCATCATTAGCTCCTGAGCTCACGGAAACATCAACACCTGCTTCCAATCGCATTTGTCAGTACTATCAATTACACAGCACGGCAAGTATTCCATGCTCCACGTTCTCCATCAACCCAATTGCAGCCTAATCTCGTGGCGTTACATTACTCCAAGTTCCAAGGCCACTGGGCAGCCATCCCATAGTAACAACTTCATTTGTACCCCATATTTACTCAACATAAGATCCTTACTGCTACCATGATGATACCTTGGAATCACACCTACACACTACTTCACGACCTCGTTTCGAATTAAAATCAACTTGACCCTACCAACCATCAAACACACTACCAATGCATTTTTGTGCTTTACATACCCCAACAAATACTTCAGCGTTAACTTAACTGGAAA